AAAAAAAAAAAAAAAAAAAAAAAAAAAAAAAGAAAGGACATCCGAGGCATCAAGTGGAGAAGATTGACAGATGGGCTGGGGAGGGGGAGGAGCTGCCACAAGTCTCTCTCATTCCCATGATGCTGTTTCTTTTCTTTTTTTTTTCTTCTCTTTATTGTGACAGTCTCACTCTGTCACCCAGGCTGAACTGCAGTGGCATGATACCGGCTCACTGCAATAAGCGGAATCATTTCTGTATTAAAGGCTGCCCTGAACCTTAAATTTGCCAAAGGGGACTCTCAAGGGAAATGGAGAAAGCTGTTTTTGTTTGTTTGTTTGTTTTACCCCATGGAGCGTCTCATGGGAATGCTGTTCTACAGAAGACACTCTGAGAATACTAAGGCCAGAGAGAGGAGGGGACATTATTAAAATCATGAAACTGAGTCAGTGGCAGAGGTAGGACTGGATCCCAAATCTCTATTTCCCAGACCCTTCCTGTCTTTAGTACACCACGCTGCAGTGCCAGATGGATGGCAAAGGCAAAAGGCTGGAGGCCCAGAGGCCAGCTAGGAGGACGCACGCCTAATTCAGCAAGGGCCTGAGCAAGAGGGGACAGTGGTGACAGTTGCTACAGGGGACCCTTTGTGAAGCATCTGTCACCCATCCTGGGCAATTTTACATACTTCCTGGATGCCTGAATGATCCCCCATTACATGGCCTCTAAACAATCGAATTACTTTAGTACTTATCAGTTTGTCATTTATATTTTTCATCTTTAAACGTATTTATTATTATTATTATTTGAGATGGGAGTCTCACTCTGTCACCCAGGCTGGAGTGCAGTGGTGCAATCTCAGCTCACCACAACCTCCACCTCCCTGGTTCAAGATTCTCCTGCCTCAGCCTCCTGAGTATTTGGGACTACACGCGCACACCACCATGCCCAGCTTATTTTTGTATTTTTATTTTGTAATTTCATTTATTTATTTATTTTTGAGACAGAGTGCAATGGCATGATCTCAGCTCACCGCAACCTCCGCATCCCAGATTCAAGCAATTCTCCTGCCTCTCAGCCTCTGGAGCAGCTGGGACTACAGGCAAGTACCACTACGCCAGCTTTTATATTTTTAGTAGAGATGGGGTTTCTCCATGTTGGTCAGGCTGGTCTCAAACTCCAGACCTCGGGTGATCCGCCCGTCTCGGCCTCCCAAAGTGCTGGGATTACAGGTATGACTCACCTGACGCGGCTAATTTTTGTATTTTTAGTAGAGACAGGGTTTTACCATGTTGGCCAGGCAGGTCTCAAACTTCTGACCTCAAGTGATCTGCCCGCGTCGGCCTCCCAAACTGTGTATTTTTCCTCTTTACATTTATATGGCAGTGTGGTAACCTAACCTAAAATCCCACCTCTCTCTGGTTGCTGAAGTTTTGCCTTCAATAATTTGAGGGATTCCAGTCTGGGTTCTGGAGTCAATGAGCCGAGATTGCGCCATTGCACTCCAGACTGGGGGACAAGAGCGAAACTCCCTCTCAAGAGTAGCGAGTAGAGGCTGAGCACGGTGGCTCATGCCTGTTATCCTAGCACTTTGGGAGGCCGAGGCGGGCAGATCACCTGAGGTCAGAAGTTCGAGACCAGCCTGGCTAACATGGTGAAACCCCATCTCTACTAAAGATACAAAAAATTAGCCGCGTGGTGGCAGGCGCCTGTAATCCCAGCTACTAGGGAGGCTGAGGCAGGATTATCGCTTGAACCCGGGAAGCGGAGGTTGCAGTGAGACAAGATCTCACCATTGTATTCCAAGAGCGAAACTGTCTTAAAAAAACAAAACAAAACAAAAATAATAGCCTTGGTCACTAAGTAGTCCTCGAAGGGACTGGGAAGGGGACGTCAGGCCCTCGGTCGAGAATGCTGGACTGGTTTCCCATCCCCTGCGGCCTTTGCTTCCACCTGCTGGAGCCCAGGTCGAAGCGGCCGCAGCCATCTCAACTACGGGAAAGAGACGCTGCCGAGGCTGCCTGGGAGGAACAGCAAGATAAAACGTTTCCAGGAGGAACAAACCAGGTCACCAACATCGATCGATATTCAAGCTGTTCAGTGCCTTTCTCTAAAATGAAGAGAAACTGGACTGTCGCCAACTTTTCTGAGGGCGCCTCCATTTTTTTGGACTCCGGCACTACAGAGTTGCTCGCCGCCCTAGAGCGGCCCCACCCAAAGCTACTTCCGGTCGCAAAGGTGTCGGTGGAAACGCCTGCACTCCACTCCCAGGGCGAATCCCCAGCGTCCCTCCAGGAGCCGCGGAGCCAGTTCCAGTCCAAAGAACTTGGGAAGGCGAGAGGGACTGAGGCAGGTAAAGAGCCTGTGGGCCGAGAGCTCCGCGGACATGGCCGACTGCCGTTTTCTGGCGCAGAGAGGGTGTCTGCGGTATACGGGTGTTCACGTCTTGATCCGGGCGCGATGCCGCGACATGCGGCCACCTAGACACGCTCAGCTGCGCCCGCCCCACCCGGATCCCTGAAAAGGGAAAGAAGTGGCTCTCTTCACTTACGCGGCAGGTTGTCCCGCTTCCTGAGAACCCCGCCAGATCAGCCTCCCTGAAGTTCCCAACAGGATCCTCCAAAGAGCTCCCGGGACCTCCTGCAAAACGTTCACAGCCTGGTATACTGATTATTCCGAGTTAAAAAAAATTAGAGAAATTGTAGTTTCAGAAGGAGCAAGCCGACCTGTTTCTTCTGCATGCAGCATGCCAAAAACATTACTCTGGGGAAGTATCCTTCCGTACCAGGGCGAGAAAATAGCCCAGAGAGGCCACAGGGACCAGAATAAACAAACGTAACAAAGTAATGCCTATCTACCATCTGTTTGACCTCCCCCATATGTAGCCTAGTGACTTCCCTCGAAAATTTTACTGCCTTAGCCAGATTTTCTTTGTCCTGTCATTTCTTTCTTTTCTTTTCTTTTTTTTTTTTTGAGACGGAGTTTCGCTCTGTCACCCAGGCTGGAGTGCAGTGGCACAATCTCTGTTCACAGCAACCTCTGCCTTCTGCTTTCAAGCGATTCTCTTGCCTCAGCCTCCTCAGTAGCTGGGATACATGCACGCGCCACCACTCCTGGCTAATTTTTTGTACTTTAAGTGGAGACGGGGTTTCGCTGTGTTGGTGAGGCTGGTCTCGAACTCCTGACCTCAGGTGATCTGCCGGCCTCAGCCTCAGCCTCCCAAACTGCTGGGATTACAGGCGCGAGCCACCGCGCCCGGCCCACTTGACTGGTTTTTACACTCAACATTCGGAAGAGACTGCTATCGCCCTTTTTCTGAAATAACAAGGACAAAACGAGAAAGTGACGGGCTGGAGCCCGATTATAAAACAGTGCAAAGACGAAAACTGATGCTTGAGTTCACTAAGGCCAAGAGGCCAGCTGCCTCCTGCGGGGCGCTAGTGCAAACCGGGCCGGAGCTCTCAGGTGCACCGCCTCGCTGGCCAAGCATGCGCGGCTGGTTTTCAAGGCCGGCTCCTGTAGCCACTGCGGCCATTTTGGATGAGGGTACGGAGAGACCGCGGCCGGGAGATACTGGGGGCGTTGTCATGGGCACGGTTGCGTAGGGGCAAAGGTCGAGTGGCTGCACTGCCGCCATTTTTTATAAGGGTATCTTCCATTTCTGATTGTGCAGCAGCTGCCATCGCGACCACTAGTTTCCATCCCCTTTAGTGCGCCCTCGGGGGCTCTAGTGACCTCCCTCCTTCCCTTGGACCCAGGCTGGGGAGGCATTCTCGGGCGCGGGAGGTTCCACAGGCCCAGCCGGGGCTAGGGGAGGCAGCCGACTTGTCGTCGGGACTGACAGTCCCCATGGCGCCGCCTCTGGCCACGCTCTACTCCCGGGACCCAAACTGGGCCGGGCCCGAGTTGAGGGAGCCTGGGGCCGTGAGCTTCGGGGACGTGGCGGTGTACTTCTCCCGGGAGGAGTGGGGCTGTCTGCAGCCCGCGCAGAGGGCCCTGTACCGGGACGTGATGCGGGAGACCTACAGCCACCTGGGCGCGCTCGGTGAGAGTCCCACCTGCTCGCCTGGGCCCTGCGCCCCCACAGGCCCTGCCGCACCTCAGGGAGCTGCGCGTGGAGTGGGGGGCCCCGCGGCCGGGCAGGCGGCTTCCCCGCAGCGTGGGATTTGCGTTCTTCTCCCCCAGGAGTCGGAGGCAGCAAGCCGGCGCTCATCTCCTGGATGGAGGAGGAGGCTGAATTGTGGGTTCCGGCTGCCCAGGATCCGGAGGTGGCGAAGTGTCCGACAGAAGCGGACCCAGGTGGAGTATCGGGTGCTCAGTCCCATGAGGACGTCTCTGTTCCTGTCCCATCCCGTTACCCTCTGCCACCTCCAGCTACCTGCTTAGCAGTTTGATCTCTGAACTTTCTCCTTTTTTTTTTTCTCATGCCTTGGGAGCAGGAATGAACTGCTTTCTCAACTTCGACCACGAGGCTGAGCCCTGCCTGGCTCCCGGATGCAACGTAGAAAGGGGCTGTGATGGGAGCTTGGCCCTGCCTTACTCGCCTCTTGAGTCCTCACCTCTTCGTGGTCACTACACTCTGGGGGCTTTTTTTGGTGTTTTTGTTTTAGAGATGGTCTCGCTCTTGCCCAGGCTGAGTGAAATGGCACCATCATAGCTCACTGCAGCCTCGAACTCCGGGGCTCAAGCAGTCCTCCTGCGTGGGCCTCCAGAGTAGCTAAGACTGTACAGGCGCTCGCCACAAAGCCTGGGTAATTGTTGTTGTTGTTTTGACAGAGTTTTTCTCTGTTACTCAGGCTGGAGTGAAATGACGCGATCTCAGCCCACTACAACCTCTTCCTCCCAGGTTCAAGCAATTCTCCTGCCTTAGCTTCCCGAGTAGCTGGGATTACAGGTGCCCACCACCATGTCTGGCTAATTTTTTGTATTTTTAGTAGAGATGGGGTTTCACTGTGTTGCTTAGGCTGGTCTTGAACTCCTGGGCTTAAGCTATCCAACCCCCTCGACCTCCCATAGTGATAGAATTACAGGCGTGAGCCACCGCACCCGGCCAATTTTTTTTTTTTAATTCTTAAAATTGTTTTATATATATATATATATATATATTAAAATATATATATATATGTTTTAGAGAGGGGGATCTTGGGTCTTGGTATGTTGCCCAGGCTAGTCTCGAACTCCTAGGGTCAAGCGATCCACCTTCTCTACCACAGTGAGCCCCCACGCCCAGCCTCTAAGCTCTACCTCCACATCAGGATCCACCAGTCCGGTCCTCCTGCAAACTGCTTCCTCTCCTCCCCCACACCACCACCTGTCTGCCCCAATTTTTTTCCTTCATTTCTTGCCCTCAGCCTTTGCAGAGTGTCCAGCCCCACTAAACTTGGCCGTGCCCGCCTGGTTCCGCCTTTCTTGGTGCTGTTCCTGTTGCCTGGAACATCCTCAGGTGTCTGCTTCTCCTTCGGGATCAGACCCGGTTGTTCATGTCCTCTCTGCCCTTCTCCCTCGGTGACATTTCCCCAGCCCCAAGGCGGAATGGACTGTTCCCTCCCTCCCGGCTCTGTCTGGCTCTGCAGCCGAGGAACACGTGTCACTCCTTCATCTCCCGTGGCAACTGTGGGTCCAGCAGGCCTGTCCCTGCCCACTCATAGTGTGGGATTCAAGGATCAGCATGAGCCATGGCTGAACTCTCCCCTCTTTATCTCCCAGCAGATTCCAGAAACAAGGAAGAGAAAAGACCAAGGGAAGGGGTGGGAGCCCTGGAGAAGCCCCTCCCTGTGGCCACAGGGCCTCTTGGGCTGAAGGCTCCCCAAGCCCTCTCAGCCGGGCCCCCTTATGGTTGGGAGCTGAGGTCCAAGGCACCGTGCCGGGGACGCCCCTCGCTCTGTGCCCACCCCCCTGTTCCCCGAGCGGACCAGCGTCATGGCTGCTATGTGTGCGGGAAGAGCTTCGCCTGGCGCTCCACGCTGGTGGAGCACGTCTACAGCCACACGGGCGAGAAGCCCTTCCACTGCGCGGACTGCGGCAAGGGCTTCGGCCACGCTTCCTCCCTGAGCAAACACCGGGCCATCCATCGCGGGGAGCGGCCCCACCGCTGTCCCGAGTGTGGCCGGGCCTTCACACAGCGCTCTGCGCTGACTTCGCATCTGCGTGTCCACACTGGCGAGAAGCCCTATGGCTGCGCTGACTGCGGCCGCCGCTTCAGCCAGAGCTCTGCCTTGTACCAGCACCGGCGCGTGCACAGCGGCGAGACCCCCTTTCCCTGCCTGGACTGCGGCCGTGCCTTTGCCTACCCCTCGGACCTGCGGCGCCACGTGCGCACCCATACCGGCGAGAAGCCCTACCCATGCCCGGACTGCGGACGCTGCTTTCGCCAGAGCTCGGAGATGGCAGCTCACAGGCGCACCCACAGCGGCGAGAAGCCCTACCCCTGCCCGCAGTGCGGCCGCCGCTTTGGCCAGAAGTCAGCTGTGGCCAAGCACCAGTGGGTCCATCGGCCTGGGGCGGGGGGTCACAGGGGCCGGGGCGCAGGGGGGCTGTCTCTGACCCTGAACCCTGGCAGCGGGGACTTGGACCCGCCCGTGGGCTTCCAGCTGTACCCAGAGATATTCCAGGAGTGTGGGTGACGGCCTCACAAGTGACTATCTAGACACTGCGGGAGGCCTGAGATGGGCTCAGGGGCCTGAACCTGTGCAGCAGCCTGCAGGGAAGTCCCAGAATCCCCGGCAAGAGCTGGCTCTGGGGTGCGGACAGTCTCATCTTGGGCCCTCAGCAGCCTCCTGTGCTAGTGTCTTGCTCTTCCCTGACCCAGGCTCTCAAAGGCCCCCCTTGCTGAGGCAGGGCTGAGGTGAGAACCCCCCAGACCTCCATAAGGGGAAGCAAAAGCTGTTTCTCAGCCCAGAGATGCTAACAGGATTGAGGTAGAGGAGAACTTTGTTTTACCCATTGTTTTTTATTTCTTTTATTATTTTTTTTTATTTTGATCCTTCCAGAACACAATACCAACTGTCTTTTTATATTTATTTATTTATTCATTTTTGAGACAGCTTCCTGCTCTGTTGCCCAGGTTGGAATGCAGTGGTGTGAATAGGGCTCACTGCAGCCTCGACCTGCTGTGTTTAAGGAATCCTTTCCTGTCAGCCTTCCAAATATCTGAGACTACAGGTGGGCAACACTACGCCCAGCTAATTTTTAAATTTTATGTAGAGATAAGATTCTCGCTGTTGCCTAGGATGGTCTCCTAGGCTGAAGCGAAGCCTCCCAAAGTGCTGGAATTGCAGGCCTGAACCACCATGCCTGGCTTCCGTTGTCTTTTTTTTTTTTTTTTGAGACGGGGATTTTGCTCTTGTTGCCCAGGGTGTGCAATGGCCTGATCGCAGCTCACTGCAACCACCATCTCCTCAGTTCAAGTGGTTTTTCTGCCTCAGCCTTCCAAGTACTGGGATTACAGGTGCCTGCCACCTCCATTATCTTTTTACTGCACAAATTAAAATCTCCTTGCCCTCTACTGGACCTGGCTGGCAATTGCCATATTTACTGATTTGAGCCCAGGTAGTGTTTTTTTTTGAGACAGAGTTTCGCTCTTGTTACCCAGGCTGGAGTGCAATGGCACGATCTCGGCTCACCGCAACCTCCGCCTCCTGGGTTCAGGCAATTCTCCTGCCTCAGCCTCCTGAGTAGCTGGGATTACAGGCACGCACCACCATGCCCAGCTAATTTTTTGTATTTTTAGTAGAGACGGGGTTTCACCATGTTGACCAGGATGGTCTCGATCTCTTGACCTTGTGATCCACCCTCCTCGGCCTCCCCAAGTGCTGGGATTACAGGCGTGAGCCACCGCGCCCGGCCAGAGCCCAGGTAGTGTTTTTAAGTGATATGAATTAGTGGTGAAGATCGAAAAGAATATGTCGCACCCAAATACAGGTTTTCTGGCATCTTCTGAAAAATCTCAAGATTTGGCAGTACCACCTAGGCTCCCACAAAACCACAGCTGTTGGGAGCTGAGCTGGAGCCAGAACTCACAATTCACCGTGGCCTGGCCACTCATCCCTGCCACTCCCATGGGCTCTTGACCCAGCATCCCTTGCTATTCATCATGGCTTGGTTTTAGTGTTTTTGGTGTTTATCTTAAAGTACACAGCAAAGAAGAAAGGGAAGTATTTTTTGAACCCATATCTCTATCAAAACAGACCTTTCCATCTGTCATTTCCCACTCATTTATATGACTTGCTGAGCTCCTGTGGTCATTTGACTTTAGCATTCAGGTTTTCTGGAGTTGGAGAGAAAGGATGATTGGAAGGAGAGAAGTAAAAGTAGGCTTTATTTTAGATCTTTGCTTCTATTGCATTTTATGGTTTACCAAGTACTGTCTCCTCCATTGACTCATTTCACCTTCAAAAGTGCTGGGAGAAGCCCCTTGCTTGAAGAGGACAGGCTGGTCAGAAAGAGGCAGGACTGCCTTTCATTCCAAACCAGGGAGTGTGTCCACCATCAGCCAACAGGCAGTTCCTGAATTTTGAATAGGAAGATTCTGAGAGCTCCCTCCAGTCTTTCTTGGACCCCCTGAGACAGCCCCATGGCTCAGGCCTTTTTAGCCCCCCTAGACCCTGTCAGGAGGGCTGCATCACAGTTTTGAACTGGAAGAAGAATTTTTTTTTTTTTGAGACAGAATGTTGCTTCATCACCCAGGCTGGAGTGCAATGGTGCGATCGGGGCTCAATGCAACCCCTACCTCCTGGATTCAAGCAATTCTTCTGCCTCAGCTACCCGAGTAACTTGAACTACAGGTGCACACCACCATGCCTGGCTAATTTTTGTATTTTTAGTAGAGACTGGTTTTCACCATATGGGCCAGGCTGGTTTCAACCTCCTGACCTTGTGATCCACCCGCCTTGGCCTCCCAAAGTGCTGGGGTTACAAGTGTGAGCCACCACGCCCAGCTTTGAACTGGAAGAATTCTTTTTTTTTTTTTTTTTTTTTTGAGACGGAGTTTCGCTCCTGTTACCCAGACTGGAGTGCAAAGGCACGATCTCGGTTCACCGCAACCTCCGCCTCCTGGGTTCAGGCAATTCTCCTGCCTCAGCCTCCTGAGTAGCTGGGATTACAGGCACGCGCCACCATGCCCAGCTAATTTTTGGTACTTTTAGTAGAGACGGGGTTTCACCTTGTTGACCAGGATGGTCTTGATCTCTTGACCTCGTGATCCACCCGCCTCGGCCTCCCAAAGTGCTGGGATTACAGGCTTGAGCCACCGCGCCCGGCCTGGAAGAATTCTTTACTTTCCCAGGCTTTTGTAGTTGGGGACACTGAGGCCAGAGAAGTGCTAAGCAGCCTGTCCAGGGTCACACAGAGACCCCAGGGTTCAGCTGACTGCTGACTTTCCCTGTCACTCCTGAGGCCTTTGCTGGTGTCTCAGCCAGGTTCTGCAGAAATCTGCCCCTTCCTCTGATAACACCCTGCCCTGACCTGGATGGGGTTAGACTAGCCCAGGATCAGCAAAACTCACATACCACATGAGTCTGACAAAGCGGCCACGTAAGAGACTAGGTCAGCTCAGAATCCAATGAGGAGAGTCCCAAGACATAAAGACCTTGCATCTGCACCATCATGGGCAGAATGGACTAGGCCAGGAACACCTGGTGTTAGATTTGTAGCCAGGGTGACTGTACCCATCTGTATCCCCAAGCTCTGCACAGAATCCTGCCCCATTATCCATCTACCACTAATTCCTTTGTGGGCAGAGTCCAGCCATGGGCAGCCTCTGCCAGAGGAGAGCAAGGGCCTCTGACCTCTGCTGGCCTGTGCGCCCTGGCCTGTCACCCAGCTCAGCGTTCTCTGGCCTACCCAGGGAGGAAGAAACCCGATTTACCAACCTGAAAGGAAGTAGAAGTTTTGGAGAAAAGACACTGTTCAGGTGCCAAGTGAAGTAATGAACTGATTCATTCCAACCTCATCTCCAATCCGACCCCACCAAGGTCTGCTCTTCCTGAGCTTTTCTGGGGCGGGTTGACTTGTGTGCCACCTTATCACAGGGACACATGGGGTTGGAAAAGGCACCTTGGCAGCAGGAGCTACCTCTGTACCAGGTTTTTTTGTTTTTGTTTTTGTTTTTGTTTTTTTTTGAGATGGAGTTTCTCTCTCTTGCCCAGGCTGGAGTGCAGTGGCACCATCTCAGCTCACTGCAAACTCCACCTCTTGGGTTCAAGTGATGCTACTGTCTCAGCCTCCTGAGTAGCTACGAGTACAGGTGTGCACTACTATGCCTGGCTAATTTTTGTATTTTTAGTAGAGCCCAGGTTTCATCAAGTTGGCCAGGATGGTCTTTAACTCCTGACCTCATGATCCACCTGCCTCAGTCTCCCAAAATGCTGAAATTCCAGGTGTGAGCCACCATGCCTGGCAAAAAACCTTTAAAAAATCATCCAGGTGTAGTAGTGCACACCTGTAGTCCCAACTATGCAGGACTGAGGTGGGAGGATGGCTTGAGCCCAGGAATTCAAGGCTTCAGTGAGCTAAGATCACACCATTGCATTCTAGCCTGGGTGACAGAAAGACCCTGTCTCCAAATAAAATAGTAATAATAAAAGATAACCTAGTGATTCTGCATCAGGGAGGACTTTTTTGAAAATACTATCCTAGTATTAGCTTCTTTGGATCATAATTATCTTTGCGTGTCCTATTGCTAGAATGACAAACACACACAAACATTCCCAGGAATTTTAAGGGTCTTGGAGCTGAGATAATTACCTACCCTTATTATTATTATTTTTTATTATTATTTTTTGAGACAGAGTTTCACTCTTGTCACCTAGGCTGGAGTGCAATGGCACAGTCTTGGCTCACTACAACATCTACATCCCTGGTTTAAGTGATTCTCAGGCCTCAGCCTCCCAAGTAGCTGGGATTACAGGTGCCTGCCACCACACCTGGCTAACTTTTGTATTTTTAGTAGAGACGGTTTCCGCATGTTGGCCAGGCTGGTCTTGAACTCCCGGCCTCAAGCAATCTGCCTGCCTCGGTCACCCAAAGTGCTGGGATTATAGGCATGAGCCACCGTGCCTGGCCTCCTACCCTTAAACGGTCTGGACAGATAAGGGATAGACATGTGGCCTTGGCCTTTACTTCTCACTCTGGCCACTCAGATGTGGCTTATTCTGTCAATACAGATAAGCATTTCCCTGACACACAGTGAAACCTGGGAAAGCCCCTTCCTGCCTTCAGTTGCTTCTGGGGCTGACCCTCAAAGACCTGTGGTAGCAGAGAGAAAAGGAGGCCCTACCTCTGGTGGAAATATCTGTGCCACGAAAAGAGCAGCTGAGAATGGGGTGGGGCTGAGGCAGAAGGGTTTCATGACACTAAAAAAATTGATGAAATGGGCCAGGCGCAGTGGCTGACGCCTGTAATCCCAGCACTTTGGGAGGCCGAGGTGGGTGGATCAAGGCCAAGAGATCGAGACCATCCTGGCCAATATGCTGAAACCCCGTCTCTACTAAAAAATACAAAAATTAGCTGGGTGTGGTGGTACGTGCCTGCAGTCCCAGCTACTTGGGAGGCTGAGGCAGGAGCATTGCTTGAACCTGGGAGGCGGAGGTTGCAGTGAGCCGAGCTTAAGCCACTGCAACCCAGCCTGGCACCTGGCAGCAGAGTGAGACTCTCACCTATTAAAAAAAAAAAAAATTGATGAAATGCTGGAAAGTTGGATCATGAGGGCAGGAAGCAGAGGAGTCAGGTCTGGTTTCTAGGCCGTAAATAAGCTTTACAAATTTCAAAGTACTCAGAGACCTCTAGGTAATAATCATGGCACCTTTAATTGGCAAACTCAGGACCAAGATCTGGCTGTCAGTCTGGGCTGAACTGGTGTTGCAAACAGGGCCTCCCCCAGGCTGTGCTGAGGGTTAGGGGAGGGGACTGGGATGTACACTGGGAATTAAAACCTGGTACAAAAGCTGGATGAGATTTTGTACCACGTTTTAATTAACAAATTTTTTTTTAGAAAAATGGTCTCAGTAAGTCACCCAGCGTAGTTTTTCTTTTGTTGTTGTGGATTTTTATTTTTTATTTTTTGAACCTGTCTCAGGATCCCAGCCTGGTCTCAAACTCCTGGCCTTGAGTGATCCTCCTATCTCAGCCTCCCAAATTGCTGAGATTATAGGTGTGAACCACTGTGCCTGGCTCAGTATCTTTTTAAAATGTAGGTTGCTGGGCTCGGTGGCTCATGCCTGTAATCCCAGCACTTTGGGAGCCCAACGGGGACAGATCGCTTGAGCCCCAGAAGTTTGAGACCAGTCTGGGCAACATGGCGAAACCCCATCTCTACAACAATTAGCTGGACATGGTGGCAAGTGCCTGTGGTCCCAGCTACTTGGGAGGCTGAGGTGGGAGGATCCCTTGAGTCCAGGAGGTTGAGTAAGGCTGCAGTGAGCCCAGATCATACAACTACTCTCCAGCCTGGGCGACAGAGTAAGACCCTGTCTCAAAAAAGTGTTCATAGCCTGTACCCCTATGGCCTTCCAGGCTCATGGCACACCAGCCTTCTCAAAGTCAAACCCCAT